CCCTGTGGAACACCACAATCTACATCTTGCATAGAAGAACATTGGTCGTTCATATTGCTCCGGTTGTCTCATTTTCTGATTAGTATTCATATTTCATGCTAAAAATATGAAATTTGATTTTTTTTTTTGAATATTTTTTCTTTTCATCGCCAGGTGCTGATGACCAACTTGTTTCATTTCATTCATTTCATTTTAGATGTGATGACACATTCAATAACACATTACTTTATTATAAGTATAACATTACTAAAGCATCAAATTTGTAGAAAAATACGTTCCCCACAATTAAACACTGATGACCTGCTGTTGCAAATTTAGAAGGACCTTGAAAAAATTCCCTTTTTGTTTTCAGCACTGAGACATTTCATTTTCAAATTGACACAAATGTCTATTATCAAGAAATAATCATATCTAATTCCGAATCAGTTTATTGTACAACTGCTGTGCTATGAAATATGCGTTATTAATTAAGTTGACTTTCCCTAAATTTGTTTACTTGTATTGCAATTTGAGTCATACTTTAAAAAATTATTACTGCATACCTGTAACATATGAGGGGCTCATTTTAAGATTTCCTATAGGAAAATAATGTTTACTATGATGCAAAAAAATAGCTCAAATTCCTTAATACTCTTGTTTGAAGTAGGCATACTATGAAATATTAATTATTATTTTACATGACAATTTTGTCAAAAGATACTTTAAACTTGTTAAAACATTTATGACATTTGATAGTACAGGTGTAATCGAAGTAAACATGTTTTTCCCAACTGGCAACTACAAATATGCTATCTGTGGAAAACAAAATTATTTCAAACACTTGAACGATGCATATTTATATCATAATCATGCAGAAATACGAAAAATGGAAATGTAACTGTATACAAAGAAGTTGTTTCTATTACAGAAGGCTGCCGCTCATTACATTTATAACTCGCTAACGCTTGTAAGCGTCCGTTATGTAAGGAAACAACAATGCATCTATCACAGTAATAGAAATCAAAATTTCAACAATACAAATAAGGGGTAGCACTGTTTCTAAAGCAAAGGCTGCCGCTCGTCACATAACTAACTCGCGAATGATTGTAAACGTCCGTTATGTAAGGAAACAACAATGAATCTATCACAGTTATAGAAATCAACATTTCAAAAATACAAATAAGGGGTTGGAATGTTTCCACATTACATGTAGGTTAAAGACAAGATTTATTTGCCCTTCGAAGTCCAAGGGAAAGACTGGAGGTTTCACAACTGCGACGTTGTATCTCCCTAAGTTTGAATGGCGCCATCTCGTGGTAGAATCAATTTATAATTAAAAAAAGCAAGATGGAAACCACCGGATAAATAGATCTTTAATTCCAGAGGCGGTGCTCCGGGGGAGGAAGAGGGGGGGGCACAATACCCCTGCCTATTACTTTGTAAATGTACCCCCTTTCCTTTGACAAGTTTCCTTTTCCCTCTGCAATAAGTGTCCATATTCTATTCTTATAAGTGCCCTTTTTAATCTCTAGTAAGTGCCCCTTTTCAGGTACGAGAGGTGGCCTTGTTCACCCCTGATTATTGCCTTATTCAAATCTCAGAGGTGCCTCTGTTACTTTGAAAAATGTCCCTTTTCATTCTCATAAATACCCATTTTCATCTCTGGTAAAAGACCGTTTTCAGGTACAAGAAGTTACTCCTTTTCACTTTAGATAAGTGCCCCCTTCACCTTCGATGATTGTCCCAATATAAATCTGAAAAATGCTCGTTTTTCTTTGAAAAGTGCCCCTTTCCCTCCTGATAAGTGCTCTTTTCATCTTTGATGAGTATCCCTTTTCAACTCTAATAAATGCCCCTTTTATTTTGACACGTGCCCCTTTCCATTCTAATGAATGCTCTTTTCCCTTTATTATAAGAGCCGCTTCCCCCTTTTTCGTAAAAGCCCCTTTTCACCTCTGATAAATGCCCCTATCGAAATCTGATCGATGCACATTTTCCTTCATTATAGGTGCCCCTTTTTCATTCTCATAAGTGCCCCTTTTCATATCTGGTCAGTGCCCCTATTTTGAGGTGCGATATGTACTCCTTTTTACCTTTGATAATTTCCCTTTTAACAATGATACGTGCTACTTTTCCTTTCTAATAAGGGACCTATACCCTTTTCACAATTGCCCCTTTTCACCTCTGATAAATGCCCATATCAAACTCTGATAGGTGCCTTTTTCCGTCGACAAATGCCCATTTGCCTTTCTCATGGTGCCCTTTTTCATCTCTGGTCAGTGCCTCTTTTCGGGTGTAAGAAGTGCCACATTTGCACCTCTAAAAATTTCCCTTTCTATTTTAACACGTGCACCTTCTAATAATTGTCTCCATCCCTTTCGATACGTGTCTCCTTTTCCTTTCATCACTACACGTGCCCCTAATTTAAAGCAACCAAGAACAATTTCCACCAAATGTCGCTCGCTATGCTCGCTCGCATTTATAGATGATATGATTATGTTACTTATCAAAGGTTTTTTCAGTCGTCCGTTATGACAATTTGCTGATAACCCAATCAGGATTGGGGTTTTTTCCTGTACATAAGATGTAAGTCGCTCCGCCGCCCTTGATTCAGTCAGTATTAGCTGCATGTATCTATTTTTTTTTAAATAGCCACTAGCGTAATGCAGTTACGGCAGCTATTTGTCAACTCATGCTTTGCATACACTACCGCATCAGGTAGGGCGAGTGCTAGGGTTGTTGCTATTTTTAGATACATGCCTCAACTACTGATTAAATAATGCCTACCGAAAAAAATACTGTCACCGATGCCATATTAGTCAAGAATCTCATGGATTTAATATTGAATAATCTCCACCCCGTATTTGATGCTGCAAGCGTACGAGTTTGTTGATAATGCCATCTTCGGCGGCTTGAAGGAAGTGTAGGGAATATTGTAGATATAAAATATAAAAATCGGCGAGTTTCTGGACTAATGCCAGGCGCGTACGCAGGGGGGGGGGGGCTTTGGGGGTCGAACCACCCCCCCCCCCCCTTTGGTATTTTTATGTGTGTATTTTTCCGGAAAACCCCCCTAAACCCCCCCCCCCCCCCCCCCCTCCCAACGAAGAAAAATGTCAATTTTAAAATTTCGAGACCAAGACCCCTCTTTAAGCGGCTGGCTGAGTCGTTGCGAAATTTTCGGCCCGATTTCAAAATGTTAAACCCCCCCCCCCCCCCTCTTTAAAAAAATCCTGCGTACGCCACTGACTAATGCCATATTAATCCATTATCTGGGGCAATCATTAAAGGTACTATGTCCCATTTGCAGGCCAAAAAAATGAAAAAGTTAAATTCCAACTGCATTTGAAAGATAATACTAATTTAGAACTTCCCTAAATAGGGTGGGGCTTGAAAACATCTTCAAGTGGGAAAATAACGACAATTAGTTGTCAAATCGACTTTAGGGCTATAGAGCCAAAAAGTAATAGTCTTGATTTTCAGACAATTGTATCGAATGGTCATATGTTTTATGCTACACAAAGATTCAATCAGTTTAATCTTGGACATCACAAGAGGTGGGTTATTGATGTAGACAAATGCTCATGTACCCTTTACAACTCTTTTCATGTATGTTATTACCAAAGAAGAAAAAAGCCAGTCAGTCACTCAATAGTGTCTGACAGTGAAGTCTAGCAAGTAAACGGGTTTCCTTGCATAATTTGAATATGAGGACACTGCTAACGTTTAAATTTCACAGATAGGACATAGATGACCTATTCATAATTCCTGCAAAGTTCTACAGCATTTGAGGTTGGCTGCAAAAGGGACATAGTACCTTTAATAAGGGGTATCTCACGAACGCTTACGAACGTTACGAATTATGGGGTTTAAGATTTTAAAAACTTCAGCGACACCGTCTTACAACGGCTTGAAAAGGCCTACGACTGTTTTGCGACAATGAAAACTTTTTGCGAACCCTGGCGGAAACCTCAAATTCGGTACGTTTGCAAGCATTCGCCGCTTAGTGAGATACCTCCTGTACGCCTGCAAAGTTTTTTGTAATGTTTATCTGGCATGTTCAGATTTGCCAACCAAGTAATTTAATACTCGCAGGAATAAGCACAAACGTGCTTTCTTGCTAGCAGTCGCTCAACAAGACTAGGAATAGCTTATTATTCCTATTGAATTTTACCCCCCCCCCCCAAAAAAAAGGAACAAATTCACTATTTTTAACAAACGCTTGCCAGATTGGTAAACGGTCATTTTTTTTAAAGGATGAATTTTCCTTCCTACTTTTCTTTCGTAAGTGCAATTTCCTATTTTACTAACTTTATATGTTATGGTCAAAAGATAATGGCTATTTACCTCTGCAGTGCTGGATCCAGGATTTTCAAAAGTGGTGGGGAGGGGACGAAGCAAACGTATACGGAAAGCGCACTGCGACTGCATAAGAGAGAGCCTTTTTTCCTTGGGGTGCAGGGACAGAGCCCCTGTCATGGACCTGATAGCTCTCGAGTTTTAGCACTTCAGAATTATCAGAACCTTCAAGAAGCCGTCTTGATCGATATAAACACCAAACTCCCCTTCTCTCTCTCTCTCTCTCTGTCCCTCTCTTAAGGATAATGTTATACATCAAATTGATGTCTTGGGATCCACTCCTACATGTATGTGTACGGAGGTGGTCCAGGGGCAGAGCCCTGCTGGGGGTCACAAGGAACAATGGGTATAATATACAGATCATGGCTCCCATAACAACAAATTACTTTCGCTTGAAGTTCTAATGATTGTCAAGATCTTATTTAAAGGAAGTCATTAGTCCTAAACGCATGAAATCAAGTCCGAAATAAGTGAATCATGCAGGGAACATCGCATTTAATTTGACCCATAGATTACTTGACAAATGCTCTCGTACACAGACGAAATAAATGTATCCGATCAACTTTATACATCCCTCTCTTTATACTCAGTCCTCATAAATAGCCTCACCTTTGTTGACCTTAATAGTAACCGTAAATAACAAGCAAGCAAACACAAGCAAATATTGTTAGATATGTCCTGTAATTTATTTACTCCAGTTATAAGACAATAAAATAAAGTCGGCTTTAGTCGAACAGTAGAAAGGTAACATGTTGCAGTAAATGCGAAAAAGGAAAAGGAAGCACTACAAAACAAAGAAAGAGATGATGAAAGAAATGTTAAGTGGCATCTTAAAATAATTTCTAAATATCATATCTTTCATTTTAAGGAGTCTTATTTATCTGATCATATTTTTGTAGATTTCTACTTATCTTTAAAAAAAAAACGACGGTGAGTTTTCACTCTTATCTACAGACGCTAAGGTAAATGTTTAGAATCCCAGAACAGTCGAAAACCAATTAAAAGTATCTCTTTTAATTATATTTGAAAGTACTTAATATAAATCTAGCACCTTATTGACATTGCACTCGCTCGCAAAGAGAAGGCTGAGTACTAGCTGGTACAGGGATTAGAATTTGACTTTTTCTCATTCTCTTTAATGCATTACTTTTCATTTATTTTGAATAATATCATGGCAAAAATGTCCTCTAAAATGAAGTGCTCTGCGAATGCCTTCAAATATGACAAAAATCAGGAGAAATAGCTGACAATATTGAACCAAACTTTCATGCCAAACGTGCGTGTCCCATATACACATTTATGTGAGCACTCAACGTGACTAAAATCGAGTCTCTTTTTCCATCATTTTGATGATTCCATAACCTCAACGTATGCAGTAATTCTGAAATACTTTGTAATCAACATTTCCCAATTGCCTCCAGAAACGTACTTTAAACATGTATTTTAAAGGGCTTTAAGTGCATATACACACCCCAAAACTGCAGTTGGTTAATGCGGAGGTATCTTTGAAGGAGCCCTTATGTGGTGCAGTTTGTATACCAAAATAAATACAAAATTATATGTGAAATTCACCCACACTGTCATTTTTTCTCGTGCAATTAAGCAGAAACGAAAAAGACTGACCTTATGGAATATGAAAAACAGCCCAAGTTTGTTAATTTACACTGCTAGCACTACTTGTTTCCAAGGTTTTCAAGAAATTTGTCAAAGAATTCAAAATTGAAATTACAGATATATCAAGGAAGCTTCGAATTCAGAGTACAACCGAATAAGGATATCTAGTTTGGGGCCACCTTACAAATGAAAGGCAGGTCTTCTTCACAGGGAAGGTCGTTCCAACCCTGGAAGATATCATCTCCTGCGTTCCTACGCCACAAATGGGCGCAGTCCTCGTTGTTACCGTGGTTGTCCGGCTGACCGGGTACCCATCGCTCGAAGTTTAGACCGGATCTATCAGTCCAAATGAAACGTCCGGTCGAGCCTGATGTTGTCTGATAGGCACCGATCCAAGCCCCGTAGTATGGTGGCCGAGTCTGTCCAAGAAACAACAAAGAAATCAGTAAAACAAAATCAGCAAAATCAGATCAGAACAGAAGTGAATTCATCATTGTTTATTAACTGCATGAAATATGACTTCTTAGAAAGTGCTCATATCAGTGACGCAGTGATACCCATGGCACGAATACGTTACTTTACACAGTTAATTTTTTTGTGAACAAGTTGTTTAAAAGTTTAAACAACCTCGGATTAACGGGTGACCTGAACTGAGAGTTGCTTAAAATTTTAAGCATCTCGAGTTGTTTAAAGTTTAAATACTTAGTTGCTCAACATTTTGAACAACTACTTGTTTAAAATCACAATTTAAACAACCGGTGTTGTTTAAAGACGGTTAAAGGAGCTGTTGTTCGGGGGGGGGGGGTTGTTTACACCAACTGGGTTGTTTAAAGAAAGTTGTTTAAAAAGGAACTGTTGTTCAGTGGGGGTTGTTTACCACAAAAGGGTTGTATAATGGGGTATAATTTGGGTTTGATACTCTGAATAAGTGCACCTCTACTTCTGGGTCTCTATATAGGTATATGAAGACTAACAATATGGTAGGGTAATTCTACAATTCATGAATTAGCGCCAAAACAGTGCCTATTTTGCATGAGCGCGCATGCACGCACGTATCAACTGCATAATGGGATGCATGCAATCTCTATGGCAAGGAATTTAGCACACGTTATAACCGAGTGCGCGATCAGTGCCGCACTGCATGACACGATGATTTTAAGTCTGCCTATGTTCTGGCATTGCGTACAGATACTAAAAATTTAACTGTGAACTTACGCTATAAGTTCAAAACTTCAAATTGGTTAATAGAAAAGTGATTTCAATTAGGCCATTGAATCCCCAGTCACTTAGAAGTGCTTCGTTAGCTTGAATTGGTCGGCCATGATGTGAAATAAAGCTTTCAGCCAACGCGCACTTTATGACGTCATATGTAAACAACACTGTCTAAAAGCTCTCGTATAGTAAATATAGCAGTCATTAGATTATAAACAGCGAATGTTTAACAAAATAACTTTCGTTTCGAGCAACATTGTTTTCAATTTGTTCAATTGTTGTTTAAGATACAACTGTAAGTGAACATCACTTTTTTAAGGAGCGTTTTTACTGTGTAGCCGAGGAGAGGGAGGGTTGGGGGAGCAGGAGAGTCAGAGAAACAGCTTTGCGAAAGTTATAAATTAATTGTACCAATATTACTAAAGTTATGATTATTTTTAAATGATGTCGCTATATACACCTTTATGCGGATCTGAAATTGGTAATTTTGTCAGTGGATTGTGACGATAACTCTCTCATTTGTCCTGCACAAAAACATCACTAATATCAGTTGCCTTCGCCCTTGGGGCACTTCTCAAATATGTCATGGAAAGTGCATTTTGTACAGGTGCTATACAAAGGAAAGACCATCCCAACTCATACATTTTCTGAAAATTGACATCTTATTTTTTTTTTTTTTTTTTTTAAACAAACGGTAAAATTGTCCGCCACTAAATCAAGAAGACGCAGCAGATTCAGCCAATTTGAAGAACACATACCTATAGTGAGTGTTGCTTTCAAAAAATTATAATTTTCATAATTTCTGTCCGATTGTCTATACTTTTCTGATTTTCCTGCTTCTTGTATAGTAGTTAGCTATTAAGGCGGAATTTCCCTTTAATTAACAGTCTAAGCTAGTATTTACCGACGGTGTGATGCCTGCAGAAGAGCGAAAAAGGTCGTAAGCGAAGCCGTTCTCCTGTTCCGTGTGGATGGATACCAGATCAGCCCGTCCATTGAAGGAGTAGTGATCCCTGCAGCGATCCCGAGCCGCTTCCCAAGTGACCCGCTCGCCGAAGTAACGGTAGCAGTTCCCGTTAAATGAAAGCCAGAACTGAGGGCATGGACGATATACATTTTCATTTAAGCCGTGAACTACCACGGCTAGAACAGCAATGGATGCGAGCAGAAGCTTCATGTTGATTACTGGAGAGTCGATGGAGAAGAGTGAGAAACAATTCCAAATTAAGGGCTTTAATATACACCCAAGAATGACTAGTCATGTATGTTTAATGTTATGTGCACTTAGAGTACGTTTGCGCCCCCCCCCCCCCCCCCCTAAAAAAAAAAAAAAAAAAAAAATGTAATTCTTGTCTGTACCACCTCCTCGCCAAGAATTTTAGACCCAACCAAAACTTTGTTGGAAGAAGATTAATTCATCAACATTTACTCTTAATTGGAGCTTCAGACGAGTCAATATGGCACCGAGTCGCATAACGTCCAATTTAAAACTGCTTCACATTTGGCAGTGATACGCATGTACAGTTTAAAATACAACTAACATTATGCACGCATACATGTGCAAAAGAAGTTTCTTTTCGCATTTAGTCATAAAGTGCGACTGATCTAGCTTTTCAATGGACTTGTTAACACATTGTATGCATACATTTCGTCCTTGTTTTCACGAAGTGACGGTAGTGAGGAAAATCGTAACGCAATGTGAATGCAATTTTTTTTCACTACCATCACTTCGTGAAAACAGCGACGATTTGTTAAACAAAAGTTTCTCGTGACAACTGAAAAGCTCACCAGAGGGTTGATAATGAATCGTTCGAACATTACACATAACGACAAAGTATGATGTGGAAGCAGTACCTAAACAATGATCCAGATTCGTGTAAAGATAGCAACATTGACGAAGATGATCCTTGATAACGTATTCAAGGGATAGTTGAGTTCTGTTGCAGAGGGCGATACACACAAAACGAAATTGTGAGATAATGAAAAACTGAGTGTCAAATTTGAAAGAAAATACAATTTAAATGACAAAATCAACTATCCCTTTAATTAGAATGTGGGGATTTCGATGTCTTAAAAAGTAATTTTCCCTGCTTTGTGTTGACTCTTTGTGAGTCTTTTCACCCTGCTTTTTTCTCGCAGTGTCCTTAATGCTGGTGCAGGCAATTCAATCCGCGGTCCTAATGACAAATTGAAATATTTTAAGAAAATGGTATTTGCATTGGTCTGCTTTTACCTAATCTCCAAAGTATGTCAGATAGCGTTTTAATACTATAGGGACGTATTGTATTACTCTCTTAATTTCTAGGACTTAAATTTTAAATCCATTTTGAGACTTAAAATATTTCAAGTCTTTAAGACTTAATAAATTGGGAATTCGACTAAAAGTTTTATCGAAACCAGCTTCTAGATATAAATCTTGGAAAGACTTAAACTTCTCGCCAATAAGATGTGCATATTTCCAGTTGCACCTGTTGATGACTGACTGTTGGCATATTTCCAGTTGAACCAGCTGACACCAATTCATTTGCATATTGAATATGGGGTGCGTGCAGATCTATGTTTTTTTAACAATTTTTCTGAATTTACAGCATATTTCTTAATTACTGATGATTTAGGTATATGCAATTCATTTCGAAAATACTACAAATATAAATTACAAGTTATTAGGACATTTCGCTACTTCGTATGAATTCCATTTAATTAAACATGAATAAGGGAAACATTAACTATGAACTAAAATAATTTCAATAAAATACAAGTATATGAAAAAAAATTCGATTAATTAAATTATGTATAAGTCTACTTATTACCGATGCCTTTACATTGATAATACAGACGTACCAGTATTGAAGTGTTGTTGCCGTTCAATTGGTTGGAAGTTTTACCAAATGGTTTTAATGGCTTAGCTAGACCAGTAAATCTAAAAGACTTGAAATATAAATACAATTGACTTAAACTTTAAATCTTTCAGGGACTTAAAATTTCAAGTCTTAGCTTAGACTTATTTTAAATCCCAAAGGGTTCGTCACTAATATCAGTCTCTGTTAGATTTAAAAGTAAGACTTTAAGATTTAAAAATAAGACTTTCAAATTTAGAGAGTACGTTCCCGAGCGTGTCAAATGTAGCCAATTTGACGTAAATCTCGTATTTACGCTTAAATATCGGTATGAAGTTAATCTCCAGGAGTAAATGTAATTTTAGGAGTAATTTTGGTAATGTAATAATTTGTTTCTCTTCAATTATTTATTCTTAAATGATTATCATTGCTATCTAAACAGAAAGTAAATCCTTGTGAAGTGGCCTCCGTTATTAATTAGAGTTACTGGTTTTGACCTGCATTAAATTTTTAATTGAGTCTTATAATTTTGTATTGGATTGGCCTTTACGACTTCCGTGTTCACACACAAACAATTCATCGTATGACTTTACTGTTTCGGGATAGCCATACGATGAAATTATGTGTGTACGCCTACTAACGACACGTCGTATAAAGAAACGTATAACGAAACGCGGGTCTGGCATCGCTTCAAACTAGAACTCGAAAAAGAATCATGGAATGTTTCGTGTGTGGACGTATGGTCGAACTACATGTAGAAAGGTATAACTTGGCGGCGCTTAACTTTTTACCAGTGTTTCCATATTATATATTTTTCAGAAAATCTCTGAATTGACCAAAACATGATAATAACCATCCATTTTTCACAGTTCTCACGCTTGCTGGGCTATGCCCCTCGAAAAAAGGTTATGCGATCACGTGGCCTTGATGACGCATTTGACGTCATTGCGGGCAGTGTCCGATTTGTCCTACAACTAAGGATCTTACAATCTCATTGTAATCCATAAATGAAACGTACTGGGATTATCAAGTGCATATAATTTTTCGGATAAATGTCTTGTTTCACCCAAGAATTAAATCATGTATGTTCAATATGGCGTATAATAAGTGCACGTAAAGTACGTTAGCCCCCTTTTATCCCCCCCCCCCCCAAACAAACAAAAAGTGAGTTTGTTGGTACCACCTCCTCGCAAGGAATGTTGAACCAAAACCTCAAAGCACCTAGCAATGTAATTATAAATCCTTTACCGTCTGCAGACTTATACTGAGAAGGAGAAAGCTTCATTGTGCCGTATCACCCCCCCCCCCCCCCAGGTAAGGTTTGTATTGGTTTTCCTTTGCAAACCAGAGCAGTATTTTTATTTTTTTTATCAGAGGTTCATTAGTTGAAACTGTGTGATTCTGGCCGCAGTATGTACAGCCGCTAAAGGCAGAGCAGAGGGAAGGGAGCCGGGTGCTCCATGCCCGACAAGCCGGCGATGAGGAAGCTCACTACGACGATAAGTCAACAGTCAGTTTTTTACCAGCTAATAAGCTAATGTCGGGACGATGTCGGCAGTCATCGGCAAATATCGCTGTCGGCAGTCATCGGAAATATCGCTATCGCCAAACTGACATCGGGCCGACATCGGACCAATTTTAGAAAACGGTTCGCCAGGGGCTCTAAAGCAGTAAGCCCCTGGATGATCGAATGCCTAAAACCCCTGATTATAGACCTGCCTGTGTCACAAATAAGGTATCTAAATACACTTAACTGACTATAACTATAAATGCTTAAAACACTTGACCTTCCGGGGACTCCGCCCCTTGGCTCCCACCAAGGCAAAGCCCCTGGACCCCACGCCAATCTACGCTCCACTCCCTTCGCTCGTTACGCTCTACCTGATCCACTTTGCAAAACGTTCCGCGGGGCCTGCACGTAACATATAAAAGCGGTGGTGATGCAGATATTTCTTCTGCATCCCCTCCCCAAACAACAAAACAAGTTTTTTGCTCGTTACGCCACTGCCCCCTAAAAAGTGAGCCCCCTGGAATGTTTGCCCGCAAATCCTATACTGCTTCCGGTACGCCTGAGTACCTGCACAGGCATGTCTCTATTAAGTTTATATCGTTTGTCGAATTTATTTTCCCTTAAATATATTTCTAACATTAAGTTTATCAAGGGTATCAATGTTGTAATGAAGTTTGTAAAAAGTAACTTTCAAGAGTATAACAAATATAATTTGAGATGAGTTTAATTCCAAATTAGGACATACTATGCACACAGTTTGATGAATATGTGTATACCTTTGAGTTTTCATTCTCTAGCTTTCTATGGAACATGGATACATGAAAATACTTCTTCATTGTTCATGAAACAAGGTTAAACTTTTATCTAATCCGAACGTACCGGTGGAAGGGATGGTGGTGTTGCTATGTTAATTATAGATTATCATGACATTACTGTTAAAGATGACACCAGGACTCATTTACATGATCTTGAATCTGGTTTAACTGAAATAATTGATAAAATTGGCAAACCAATAGTAAACATGATATTAAAAAACCCAAATCAAACACTAAAATATTTACTTTAATATAGACTAGATTAATACGATTGGTTTTAACATTGACCATGTGAAGATTATGCAAAATAATGGTAATGATTTTGTTAGTATAATTTATTCACATTTTGTTCTGCCTCGTACCATGGTAACTAAGAAGTCTGCATCTCTGATTGACAAAAGTTTTTCCTATAAATATAATGTGTGTGCCAGTTTAACTCCTATTACTCTGTATTGTGATGCAACTGATTAATTTCCAATTTTCCAAGTAACAAATGACCACAGAATAACTCCTCCATCTGAATCCTTTACATACCGTCAATTTAATGATGACATTCAAATGGCCCTAAAGGTTGATGAATATTTACATATAACAAATACTAAAGGACTAATGTTCCAATAAATGATAATGTTTATAATGCATAAGATATATTTTTTTAAGCAATTATGACAAAAAATCTCCTGAAAATGAATAGGAATAAACTATAAAGAGCTGTACAGATATCAACAGCAACATCAACCTTGGATGGAATTTAAGGTAACAAACGAGATTGTCTGAATGCTAACGAGATTAATAAGAAGGTGTATATATGCGTACTTTACTTGATAAATTATCATCCAAAAACGAATTAATAAGAGAAATCTTATATTAAAATAATTGGAATATTATGAAAGGCTTGCTGGGTAGCAACATTAAAGCCCTACTATCATCAATGACACCTGATGGTCAAGTGTCACGCCAAAAGAGTATCGCATGTTACAACGTTAATGTTTATTTTGTGACCCTTTTTATCTAATTAGTAAACATCTCAGAGGTTGAGAGCAAGTAGTACGTATTAATAGTTATAGGTATCTTTTAGGGAAATGTTTCCCTAATAGTAAGTTGCTCTGAGGGAAAGCAAAGAATCTTGAAGAACAAGGCTCATTAATATGTAAAACCATTGACATCGAGATGATCAGAAATACATATATACACACGAGGGGGAAGAGAGAGAGAGAAGCAAAGATAGATATAAAGCAAAGGGAGGAGAGAACAGGGAATCTGCTACAAACTTAGCTTTAAAGCCTCAGATTATATAGACAAAATAGAAATAAAATATACTGCTTCATTCCGTTAATCCGTTTCATCCACACCATAAACTAATATTACCCACTTGTGTCCATCTGTTTGCCTCTAACACGTTTTCATACAAACTTGGAAAAATACACTTCCAAACTACATAGTCTACCCACATACATTCGTTTTTCCTCTTTTACATTTTTATCTCACTTCCGTGTTTAAAATCCCAAATTTGTCATAATCTATCAAAGCGATACACAATACAATCTCACCCAATCTAGGCCTCATCTGCTATTCTTACCTTCGTAATAATTGTATTGCATTCCAAGAGAACGTTGACAATGTAGAAACTCCTTCGATAATGAAAACCTTGTCGGAAGAAAATTAATTCATCAATATCTACAGCTAATTTGAGCTTCAGACGAGTCAAGATGGCGACGAGTCGCATAGAGTCCAACTTCAAATGACTGCGCATTTGGCAGTGGTATGCATGAACAGTTTCAATTGTAACTCACATTATGCAGGCACACATGTGCAACAGAATGGCAAGCAAGATGAAAAGAATATGGCAATCGATAGGCACTGTTGCACTTTGCAAATAAAATGATTTGAATTTGGTCCCTGTTCCATCAAAAGTATTATCAATATGTGACAAAACAGAATATCTGATAATAGTATATGCTACTGAAATCCTTGCATTTGTCAATTGGATCCGAACATTTTGTTACAGCATTGTGGCACTTGTGATTGATAAAAGGATGAAGATGCTCAACCACCCCTGAGACAAATTTCTTTTTACCAGTGTTTCCATTTTATATATCTTTCGGAAAATTTCTGTATTGACAAAAAAATGATAATAACCATCCATTTTTCACAGTTCTCACGCTTGCTGGGTTACGCCCTTCGAAAAAGGTAATACGGTCACGTGGTCTTGATGACGCATTCGACGTTATTGCGGGCATATCCGAGTGGTCCTACAACTAAGGATCTTACAATCTCATTGTAATCCATAAATGAAACGTACTGGGATTATCAAGTGCATATAATGTTTGGGATAAATGTCTTGTTTTTCCCAATTAATATCATAGTTTGCCTTTTTGAAGACCTTTAATATCTAAGTCACCGGCCCTCCTTTTCACCGGAAAGACTACTGCAGTGAGGTTATAAACAGTTGCACAGTACAGCTCCGAAACTGGGCTTTTTTCTGAGCGTTCTGAGCCGACATTTTTAAGGCTAGAATCCAGAATTATTGATGATTTCTAAGAAAAATTATTGTCATGTCCGGAATCTCCGTCAAAAATTATTCTACATGTCTTTTATTTTCTTCATTTTTTAGCCGTTCCGGTTAGAGTGGCCCTTTAAATTCCTGTACACAGAACAGGGGCGGTGGATGGCTTTTTCAAAGTGGGGGGATGAACTAAAAGGTCACTTTCTGGAAGAAAAAAAGGGGTAGGCCTACCTACGAATGAAAATCTCAAAGCAAAAATAGACGAGTCACTTTCTGGAAGAAAAAAAAAGGGGTAGGCCTACCTACAAAGGAAATTATTAAACGCTCACCAGCCCTATTTTTTTTTCGCTGGGAGTCCTAATTTAATGATCACTCATCCTTCGGCTAACAGCAAGTATGTAGGCGGATGTCGCATAATGCGTTGGTGTGGTGGAGATCAAAATTAAATATGCCAGGTTCTGGACTAGTTTAGTTATAGCAGTGTATTTTAGGCAATATAATTTAGAATTAAGTTTTTTTTATTGATGTTATTATACCTTAGTTGTAGTGAAAGTTGATTGATAATAGTTAGTCTGGTCGCCCAAGTCGTGAAATGCCCATTAGGTAAAAAAAAAAAGACAAGATTTATTTGCCCTTCAAAGTCCAAGAAAAGACTGTTTCACGGGAGGTTTTACAACTGCAACATTGAAGCTCCCTAAATTGGATAGCGCCTTCCTATTGTAAATTCAATGCTTGACTTATGAATGGAAGATAGAGACTGCTGGATAGATAGATTATTCAGTCAGTATTAGCTGCATGTTTCTACTTTTAAAAAGATATCCACTGTCTAGCGTAATGTAGTTAGGGTAGCAATTTTACATCAAATGCTTTGCATTCACTACCACGTGCAACAAGTAGGGTTAGCATTAGGGTTGTGGCTATTTTTAGAAATATGCCTCCACTACTGATAAAGTGATGCCTACCGAAAGAAAAACCGTCACTGATGCAATATTAGTAAAGAATCTGGCCGATTCGATATTAAATAATCTCCACCAACCCAACCCCGATCTCACCGTACTTACTGCAGGCAGAACATGACGTGATCTCCGAATTTCTACGCCCGGCGTAAAGGACTAAGGTCGTTGATAGTGCCATCTGCGGCGGCTTGAAGGAAGTGTAGGAAATATCGCAGATATCAAATATAAGAACCGGCTAGTTTCTGGACTAATGCCATATAAACCCATAATCTGGAACTATCGCTAAACCAGGTAATTACTAGCAGAAAGAAGCAACAACTTGTTTTCTTGCTAACAGTTGCTCAAACCAGACTAGGAATAGCTTTTTATTCAAAAGGGATATTTTCATTATTGTTCACAAACGCTTGCCAGATTGATAAACGCTCATTTTTTAAAAGGAGGACTTTTCCTTGCTTTTTTTCTTTCGTATGTTACAAGTTCCTCTCCTACTTACTAATGCCATGGCACAAGTTTATGGCCATTCATCTCTGCAGTGCCGGATCCAGGATTTTCAAGGGGGTGACGAAGCAAAATTTAACGCAAAGCGCATTGCAGGCGTAGAGTGAGCCCTTCCCATTGTGCAGTGACAGAGTCCCCACGTGGACCTGGTAGGAGGAGGGGTGGTTAGTCTCTGAAAGCTCTCGAGTTGTAGCACTTCGGCATTATCAGAACCTTCAAGAAGCCGTCTTGATCAATAAAATACGAACACGCACTCTCACTCTCTCTCTCTCTCTCTCTCTCTCTCTCCTAAAGATAACTTTATACATCATTTGTTTATCTTGTGATCTACTTCTGTTTTTACGGATGGGGTCCAGGGGCAGAGCCCTGCCGGGGGGTACTAGGGAACGATGGGTATAATATGCAGGTCATGGCTCCCATAAAAAAAAAAGTTCGCTTGAAGTTTTTATGATAGTGAAGATCTAGTTTAAAGTAAGTCTTTAGTCCTAAACGCATGAAATCAAGTCCGAAATAAGTGAATCATGCAGGGAACATCGACCCATAGATTACTGGACAAATGCTCTCATACATAGACGAAATAAATGTATCCGATCCACTTTATACATCCCTCTCTTTTTACTCAGTCCTCATTACTCACCTCACTCATAACTAACCTTGAACGCAATCGTAAATAAAAACAAACAAGCATACAAACAAGAAATGTTGTTAGTTATGACCTGTAATTCGTTTACTCCAGCTATAAAAGCATGAAATAAAGTTGGCTTAGTCGAACAGTAGAAAGGAAACATGTTGCAGTAAATGCGAAAAAAAGAAAGGAAACACTAACAAACACAAAAAAGATAATTAAACATATATTCAGTGGTACGTTACAATAATTCACTTTTTCATAAAACATTTTTTTAATGTCAAGAAGCATAATCTATCCGATCACATTTTCTTGAATTCCATGGCAAAGATATTTTTTAAAAACTGTGAGTTTAAATTTCACTCTTATCTACAGACCATATGAGGAACGATAGGTATAACTTGTAGGTCACTGCTTCCATCACGAATTGATTAAGCTTGAAGTTCCAAGATTGCCAAAATCATATTCAAGGGCAGTATTTAGTCCTATGCGCATGGTATGTAGTCCAAAAAAAGGTTCATACAGGGAACATCGAACTTATTATGACCCATAGATTAATTGACAAATGCTCTCATACACAAGAGAAATACAAGTATCCAATCCACTTTTTACATCCCTGTCTTTATACTTAGTCCTCATGGCTAGCCTCACTCATGTTAAACTTGCACATAATCTCAAATTAAAATAAACAAGCAAACACACAACTACCCAAACAAATATTGTGAGATATGGCATGTAATTCATTCACTCCAGCTGTAAAAGCATAAAATAAAGTTGGCTCAGTCGAACTGTAGAAAGGATATATGTAGCAGGAAATGTGATAAGGAAAAAGGAAGGAAACACTAAAAAAAACATAGAAAGAGATGATGAAATATATGTTGAGTGGTATTTTACAGTAATTCGACTTTTCAAGTAACAGATCCTCAAATTCAAGAAGCAAAATTGATCTGATCATATTATGTAGATTTCCACAGCAAAGTTATTTCATTTAAAAAACGGCGAGTTAAAAAAAAATTTCACTCTTATCTACAGACGCTAAGGTAAATGATTAGAATTTCAGAACAACAGTTAAACACCATGATAAAAGTCTAAGACCAATTTAAAGTAGCCTTCTTAATTATAACTGAAGGTACTCATTACGGATCTAGCATCTTTAATTGACATTTTTGAGTTTGTCTCATTCTTTTTAATGTGTTAATTTTTTTTAAACAATATCATGTCAACATTTTCATCTGATATGAGTCGCTCTGCAAATGCCTTTAGATCTGAAATATTACGAGAAATAGCTAAAATATTGGACCAAACTTTCAAGCACATGTGTATGTCCCGTCCCCATTTATGTGAGCACTGAACGTGACTAAAATCGAATCTCTTTTTCCATCATTTTTATGATTCTATAACCTCAGCGTATAACACATACTTTGTAATTAACCTTTTTTCCAATTGCCTCCGGACATTTTCTTTAAACATGTATTTCAAAGGGCTTAAAGTGCCTAAACACTCCCCCCCCCCCAAACAGAAAACGGTTGGCTATTTAAAATACGGCGGGATCTATGACAGATCCTTAATCGTTTAAAAATGGGACGGATTTCGTATACTAAACTATAGAAAGAAAATTTGAATGTAGACTTCTCACAGACTGTCAATATGTCTCTTGTAATGAAGCAAAAACACAAAAGACTGACTAATGGACTGTGGAAAATAGAATTGGTCATGCATGCCACACCTTTTGAACGTTATAATAGCCCCACTTAGTCAATCTATGCTGCTAGCACTACTAGTTTCCAAGGTTTTCAGAATGTTGTCAAAGAATTCAAATTGTAGTCTTAACCATACAGATATATCAAGGAATTTCGAATTCAGGGTACAGCCGAATTGGGATTTCTAATTTGGCACCACCTTACAAGGGAAAGCAAACAATCTTGAAGAACGAGGCTCATTAATACGTAACACCATTGACATCGAGATGATCAGAAATACATGTATACACACGAGGGGGAAGAGAGAGAGAGAAGCAAAGATAGATATCAAGCAAAGGGAGGAGAGAACAGGGGATCTGCTACAAACTTAGCTTTAAAGCCCCAGATTATATAGACAAAATGGAACTAAATATACTGCTTCATTCCGTTTCATCCACACCATAAACTAATTTTTGTCCATCTGTTTGCCTCTAACACTTTT